CTTCCACATTAATAAATCCAGACACATGGATAATGTGCCCTCTTCCTTTTCACTGCAAGATTTGTTGACCAGGTAATAAACTGAAGCATTTGAGTACAAGGTCTATCATGGCTGTTGCCACTCACTATGCATGTGTCCTATAATCATTTCCATGGAAGCAACATTCATCATGAATGATTGCAATGACCTTCTGTTTGCCAGGTGCAAGCTGCGGATCAACATGAAGCAATCCTGATCCTTCAAAGTGTACCATGTGGCACTCAAATGCAGCCATTGCAGGTAAAAAACTTCCTGCCTATACTTCTTGACATCATCACACTCATGCCATCCATGTAGACACCCTTTTGAAGTCTTGTCTGCTGCCAGCCCAATTTTAGCAGCCAGTGCTATGTCATCTGTTCACAGAGTGGTCTCACAAGCACAATGCCAAGTGAGGGAATAATCATTTCATTAAGTGTGTGCTGAAATTGCTGTGGAGTGACTTGGCCAACTTCTTGCAACATAAGCCATTGGCAGGCAGCCAGCTGAAGTTGTTCATCTTTAAGGGGGTTCAGATCATTTGCTCATCCTCCACACTTTTCCACAGGAATCTGTTTGAACACTTGGTAATGACAAGCAAGTGCCCTGACTTTTTGTGCAAAATGTTTGCCCTTACCTTCATGCCACTGACAAGCAATTTCCAGACTGGCCTCATTGCATCCAAGACCTTTCAAGTGGAGGGTAGCAAAGCTTTGAATCAGCATAAGCTGATTTACATGAGACAATGGTAGGTTTGTTTTTGTGCCTTTCACAAGATCATCCTTGACTTGCTCCCACAGTTCATCCCATCCCCTAATCTCAACACCATCCCATTCCTGCTCTTCAAGTACATCCTCCCAGGCATCCTCAGCATCCTCTACAAGTCAACCTGCATTCAATGACATCAATACATCATCTGAGTGGCTTCCCAAAGAGTCCCAAGTGTTGGTACATGAGATGGTAATGGAAGGGGGCTCTCAAGTTCTTCAGCTGATGAAGGAGAGGGTGAAAAGATCAATGGTTCCATTGCTTCATCATTAACCATGGCAGGTGCAGCTGAGAAGACAGGGAGTGTGTTTGAAGCTTGGGAGGGCAGCAGAACTTGACTTTGCTGGCTTGAGAAAGTAAATCCAAGGTTGGAAAGTGATTTGTGGTCTGCCAAAAGCTTTTTGTACTGCTGTTTCATACATTCTGACTTGCTTCCCACATCAGGTCCCTTTTTGTACTCTTTGGGGCAACCAACTGACTTCTGGGTTGGAAGTACTTGAAGACAAGGACCATGCTCATTTACTCTGATGGAGGCACTCTCCTTTGTCAGGTTTGGATGTGTTGGGTGATGACACATAACCTGCCACATCAGTACTAACAGAATTCCAATTGTGCAGACCAGTTGTATTCCAGGTGATAACATGTTTTCAAGGGCAGCTGCAAGACATTCTTGTTTGAAGGCAACTGAAAACTTGGCTTGAATCTCAAAATTTCCACTTGCCACAGGTGAGCCATCTCACATTCATACAGCAGCAACATCTTGTACTAACCAAATACTCTTTGTTCTGCATTTTTCAGATTTGTTGTGAATCTTTAGGGGGTCTGCCAAATTTTGGGGGGTCAAGATTTCCAAAACTCAGTATTACAAAATTCTACTCATGCAGATTGTTTCTATGTATCATAAGTATGCCTATTATATAGTTTTTGGACTTTCAGAACATTGTGTTGAGTGTGGATAATTTGATGACTGAAATTGTCATGTTTGTTTGTCCACAACTGTAGCAAATTTGGGCAGGTCTCTCCACAGAATACCCATGTATTTTGTGGTGGCCTGCATAGAGTGGCTTTCAGTAGTATTGGATTGAGTATGGATGAACAGGCAATGGTTATGCACAGCCCACAAGTTGCCCGACCCTCACTTTCTCGCACATGTGCCTTCCATTTAGTCAGCGCATTTGCAGTGGCTGTGAGAACAGCCACCTGCAAATTTTTTGGTAGATGACTTGACAGTGATGAACATCACATGACTCCTGCCACTCAGTCCCAGTGAGAAACCACCATATGCCAGACTAGGTAGTAATCTGTAAATATAGGCAAATAGGAACAAGTAGATTTGCATTGTAAATGTACACTATCATAGTATTATTCACTATTCGTGCATATGCTGATCCATATGTACCTATTAGCATAGTCAACCATATATCTACCTAGCTATCCCTGTGTCCATGACTCCACTATGCATTTATATGCAACAATAGCTCAGGCAATTTGGCTCGAAATCACTATGCCATTATATGCATAGCTAGTGCAAATACAAAACCCACCCACCCGCTCCCTGGTCACTTGACCAGTATGCAGACATATGAGTACATAGTCATTGAAACCCACCCACCCCATCCCCATCCTACTGCTCGCCCTACCACTCGCCCTACTGCTTGCCCTACTGCCTGCCCTACTGCTTGCCCTACTGCTCACCCTACCACTCCTACCACTCTTGCACATACCACTCTCACCCCATCCCAAATCCCATCTACCACTAGTACACGGTACCGCCAGAACACTTCGCAATCGTCTCTGCGGTGCTATTTGTCCAAACACCAGTGCCAACACAAAGTGGTGTGTTGACAGCATGTGATTGTGGTATCGGGAGCGAATTCGACATACGAGTTTCCTGTATTCCTCTTTGTATTTCTAGGTTAAGGCATATTAGTATTGACCAAATGATGAGAGTGACCGATTACTTACCTCCTTTGTCTCTGTAGGAAGTTGATTGTAATATGTATTGAGTTCCTCCTGTGTGCCATTTGGAGAAACCATCTTGAGCCACTGGTGGGCACACAGTGTCCTCATATCAATATTAGTATAACCCATCCCTCTCATGAAATACGACGTACCATGCACTTTTGTTTGACCCAGGGTGCCAAGCCTTCTTCTTGCTTGGTCCGAGTGTCTCGGAAGCTGTTGATGTCAGGTCACTGGTAACTGTGGATGAAGGCTGTGAAGGGGGCGGAACAGTTATGGTGTTAGTGACATTGGCAGCGCCACTGGCCTCTGCAGGGGAAGTCTGTGGAGGGGGGCAAACCGATTCACTCATTGGAGTGACTGTTGGAGTGATAGATACAGACGAGCCAGCACTCATTGGAGTGACCGCTGGAGCGACCATTTGAGATACAGACGAGCCAACATGCTCAGCTGGGGAAGTCTGCAGGGGAAATTGAACAGGCACCATGTTGGGGATGTTGGCAGTAGCTGGCGCTGACAGTGGGAGGCCCAAGTGGTGCAATGGCACAGACAACCCAAGCCAAAGATACCAGTACATCCTGTATGCAAGTGAAGTCTATATTACAGAATGTTTTTCACCTTAATCTTAGGCAAAGGGCGAGCTTCTCGGGCTGTCAATGCGAGTTAGAATGGATGCCTGTATCATCATTACCTTTCGGCTCGAAAAAGCCACTATGGTTTGACTTGGGGTTCGAAGTACTGGTAGATGCCTCAGAAAAATCCGAAGAAACATCAGCCAACGGTGACACAGATAAAGGACTGATTTCTGCATCAAAGGAAATGTCTTCAGGTAAACCTGCATCAACTTTGGTATGCTTGTTGTTGACATCAGTTGTCTCCAACTTCGCATCTGCTTTGTGCTTGCTGGGAATAGACTTTTGTCCTTATTCGTGAACCAAGTCTGTTTGTACGACGCATAGTACTGCTTGGCTAGGTTATCAGCTTTCCACAAGTCTTCGCAAAGGGCAAGCTCGTTGTGTGCACCAGCAATTTCAGTACGAAATATCTTCTTGATGGATAATGGCATTGATGTCCACATCGTGTTGGCGTCAATCTGGCCTTGGCAGCAGAGGTCATGCCAGATCTCACGCATTGTTGAGAGAATTTTGCTGATGCACTTCTCAGGTAGCTGCTTGCCATCCTCATCTTCTAGGTATGTGTCTGTGATTTAGACATTATGGCTTGTCCCTCCGCGGTGGCCTTCCAGTCCTTGTACTCCTTTTCTGTCCAAAACCATACCTTCTTGTATGCTGATCTATCATGATGGGGCAGTGGAGCTGAAGGAAGAAATAGATTTGGCAGAAGCAGAATGCCCTGCATGCCAACATTAAGGAATGTGTTAGGGCCTTCCTTGGTGCTTGAAATTGGACGGAGCTGAGAGACAAGTGCAGTATATGCACCCCTGTTCGAACACAACATCGTCAATCAAATAATAAATCAGGTCGATGCAGCTACTCGATTGCAGTCTTCCCAGCTGCAAGTGCTGCATTTTCGCTTTGGAGTTTGTTGATAGTCTCTTTAAGAACTTGAATCTAGGCGATATGCTAGCTGTATGTGTGAAATTGGCCAGTGTAACATAGACGCACCGTATTATTATCTTGAAGTGTGTTAACCTGTGGCCCAGCTATGTTCATCAAGATCAGATGTTAGCTATATTAGAACATGACAGATATGCCATGTATCTGTGCTTGAGAGTGCAGCCAATGCTGGGTGCTGTTGAAACCATGGAAGATGCTATCACCCGAGGTCCTAAACGAGTCACAGGACAAGCTGTTCTGAAGGTTATTCGAGATATTAGTCTGCCTGTCAAGAAACAGAGGGTATGGGGATGCTTGTCCATCAGAGGAAGGGAGCGACATGGTGGCAGGAGGAAACAGCAGGAGGAAACAGGAGGGTGTCCCGATATGGTCTTTAGAGCCAGACTTGCCTCACACCAAATATGCTTTAACTAATGCATCTTAACCATAACCATGTCCTCTGATGATATCGACACCGCTCTAGTGACCATTCCAGTCAGAACTACCATTGTCAACAATACAGCCATTCTCGACATCCATGCTCTCTCTTCTGACTGGAACATGTATCTTGTTATGCTCACTCCAGAGAATCCAGGACCTATTGTACGTGCATATACCCACTATATGTCAAATCTATCTAACATACCATTTCAGAAACTTGTGCTTCATCTACAAAACCGTTCAGAAGGCCCCAAGAGCCAACCCTGCACACAGGCCGATGTAAAGATATTCAATCCGCCTAAAGTGTGAGTGCATGCACGTTGTCTATGTTTTCTCACTAATAGATCTAGCTATCATCTGCTTGCAGAACCAGTTCTGTGTCTCATAGACCCTGGCTCATCGGAGAACCCAAAGCCGATGATTCTAATGGACAGGCTTGCGGCAACCTCATGCATTAGAGACGCCTCACGCGTGTGGAAGCTCTCGCAAGTCAGCACAGATGAGAATACAACCCAACAGAACATCAAGCGGCGCCATGCAGACATGTAGATTTGTATCGCTTTATTGCATCATCCCCTCATGTTTGTATTACTAGTACCGTCATACAGAGGTTGTGTCCTGTAGTCATACCAGATAATAGAATGTACTCATTGCTGGTTGTGGTCGCAATCTTGGTCCCACTGTGTGCATGGAAACAACCAAATTGTACTCATATTCGCATGATAGTCTATGAAAAGTCTAAGAAAAACAAGCATTTGTATGAAGAGTATTATGCATCCTCATCATCATCATTCTCAGTCCCAACATGCGCAAGCTCCAACCCCATTTTCTCGACCAAAAAATACCTATCCTCCATGGTGCCTAGCAGATTGATCTTGTGAGGAACCATGCTGACAACGGAATGAATGGCAGTTACTTCAATAACATGTAGACTCACATCACCTAGTTTGTGCTTGACACAACAACTCCGTATGATTCCTCGAGTAAACGTGGGTGTGGCTGGGAGTATAATGTGACCAGAGTGACGTTCACGAAGTGATACTGCGGAGGGGCAGAGTCTCCATACAGGTCATCACCACTGTCATCCTCAATGGCCACTTGCAAAGTATCAAACCTCTGCAATGCGGTCCTCTCCTCCAATGATAGCCTACATGTTCTTGTCAGTATATACAATGAAATATACAGTTGACTCCTTACCATAACATTACAAGCCATGTGCAATTCTTCAAGTGGTTTCTGTGATTCAACAAACTCAGAATGTGCAATTTGACCATTTGGAAGTCGTAAACGTCCCCAGCGGCGAACACTGGGCAGTTCTACTTGCCCCAGATACTCCAAGATTACCTGTGCTTCGTGGCCATGCACCACGATTGCATGTTTATCATGTTTCGGCAAGAGGAGATAGCCATTACCCAAGTCTTCAGATGCACATGGGTTGGCATCTTCACTTGTGGGATCTAGGTTAGGAAGCATTGCCATGAGAGCGTTGATCTGGCACCGATGAATGCCTTGCTGTGCAAGGTTAGAGAATGGGTCGGACGGCTGCTGTATCTCCTGGCCAAGGTTGCCAATAGTGTGCTCCATCGTCCACTGGGAAGAGCAAATGGGCAACCCAACACATACGGCCTCAGAGGCCAGGTGGTTTGATAGGTGGATGCATGGGTATATGAAGTGAATCCGATCAATGTGATGTTGGTAGTGTATCTGCTCGAATTCATATTCCCATTCGGCTAGATAGTTCCGAGCGAGTTTGAGTTGTGCTGGAGTGATACTGTATTGACCCATGATGTGGAAGCCTGCAACAAACTTACAGAAGTTGTGCCAGATATCCTGGGGTAAAACCTGAAATAAAAGTGCTGGACAGAGAGAATAAATCCAAGTGATGTACTCAGTGGCTTTGTACCAGGAGTTTGCATGAAGGCTGGGATCGCAAGGGGTGACATCGAATGAACCTGGGAGGTAGGGCTTGCAAGCACTGACTGCGTGCCCATGTTCTTCCCACCTGCGCTGATCCTTTAGAACAGCCCAACACCATGTCATCTTGTTATCAGTTGGTGCAAATTCAATGGTACCTCTCCACAAGTCAAGCCATAGTGCAGCCATGTTTGCACCACTGAAGTGCATCATTTCTGATGAGAAACATTCAGGGATACTGAGGACGAGGTGTAGCTGCAGGCCAAGAAGGATGCTGGGGCCAACAATCCCAGTCTCGAGGCATCGTCCTTTGTATTCTTTCTGATTCCGAGAGTGAAGGATGGTGCACAGTTGTACAATGTAGTGCGCAGAGGTGCTTGGTCCGACATTATAGATGTTGACATCACCATGGTTACAACCAGTGATGTCATAGTTGTTGGGTTTGAGTAGAACAGGGTAGTACTGAGAAGCACCGGGCTTCCGACGATCTTTGAGAGGACAATGCATGTGACACCCATTTTTACCTTGGTGTCCAACAAAATTGCTCATCGTGAGCAGACCAGGACCATCAGCACATGCAAGGAATAGGAAGAGACGAGAAGTGAAGTTACGATTGCGAGCAAAATCCCATATCTTGAGACCCTCACATTGCAAGGCAGAGAGGTGATGAAAACCCAGCGACAGGAAGGACTCGATGAACTTTGGTTTTTTGGGGCCAGGGATGATTGCGCCAGGGAGGACATGCTTCTTCTTGTAGTGATGATCAGGTGAGAGGTTGAGAATGATCCGGATATATATCCAACAATCCAATTCCTTGGATTCGAAGAGTTGAGCACTGTCGATGGATATCATAAGAAGGGTGTCGTCAGGAGTGATGGTACTGTCACAGATACCATGGATATATGCACTCCCACAGAAGACATCATCATATGCATTGACGAAGCCATCATTGGCAAGAAGCTCGTCAAACACTTGTTGAGTTTTTTCCTCGCAGTAACGCATCTTGTTAGTGGTGTCAGGGTGTCACCAGAGGGCTTGGGTTGGGGACCGATAGGAATGGTGTGGAAGACAGCATGAGGGTGTTTGACCCCTCTGTTCTGTCAAAGCTGGTCATAGTGTGGCTCATCACATTCAGGACAGGTGTCAAGATGGGCATAGGGACTGACAAATGCAGTGCATGAGTTGATACACATGTGGTTGATGATAGATGTGACTCTGGTTAGTATTGCACAGAGGAACGGGAGAAACAAAGAGCAAAAGGCACAAACACTTGCCTTGTTAAGAACGGTAGTAGATTTGATAAACTGGAGTAAGTTTTTGAGGGGCTCAGTTGTCGAGTAGACAAGTGAAGAACGAATGTAGAATTCAATAGGAATTGAGGAAGAAATCCCTGAGTTTATATACATGAGTAGGTACACACGGACCAGTAGCATAAAAGGAAACTACTACTCAGTATAGTAAAGAATAGCATGGAAGGTCATGGAATATGACATATGATATGATGTCAGTATGACATCATTGTGGAGCTGATTGCTAAGGAATGTCATGTGATAAACAACATGTTGAGACATGTGTAAGTCTGGATGACTCTAGACATCGGAACTATTAGAATATTTCCAACACTCCCCCTCACTCTAAAATGGTAAAGTAACAAGACCCATTGACAAGCGATTAGTCTTGAACTTCTGCCATGTTAACGATTTCGTAAGGCCATCTGCTTTCTGCTTGTCAGTTTGAACGTAGTCAATACTGAACAAACTATCTTGAACACATTTGCAAACGAAGTGCCATTGGATGTCGATATGCTTTGACCGACCGTCTGATACAGGATTCTCAGCAATAAAACGAGCTCCCATGTTATCACAGTAAAGAATTGTCTTTTTGGTCTTGAGTTGTAATTCATCAAATAGCATACAAAACCATTTGATTTGTCTGGCAGCGTCACATAAAGCCATATACTCGGCTTCAGTGGAGGAAAGTGTGATTGTCTTCTGTTTGTGAGAATGCCAAGAGATAAGGGAATTGCCAAGATACATGGCATAACCGGTAGTAGAATGACGTGTGTCTTTATTGGCAGCCCAATCAGAATCTGCAAAGCCATAGATTCGAGATTCAAGTCCCAAATAGTATAAAGCCAGTTTAGGAGTTGATGCGATATAGTGACCTATATGCAAGGCTTTATTTCGATGATCTTCGGTAGGATTTGCCATATATTGAGACATGTGAATAACCGCAAAGGCAATATCAGGATGAGTACCAAGAGCCATATAAAGCAATGACCTGATGATTGACTGGTACTGTGACCAAAGAGAAGATGTGGCTTGATAATCTGATGGTGCTTTTTCCGGTTGATATCCCAAGGGTAATGGAGTGCGAACATTTCAAGCAGTCTCCATATTGAACCTTTTGATAACCTTTTTGATGTAAGGTATCTGGTCGATATAGATTTCTTTCTTCGACCTATCTCAATGAATTTGAATGCCAAGGTATTCCTTGACTTCACCAAGATCTCGGGATTCCCATTTCTTCATAAATTGTTCTTTCTTGGCCTTTAGAAGACGTTTGTCTGATCCTAGAAAGAGTCCATCATCGACATAGATGAGAAAAATGACGATTCCAGCTTTGGATATGTGAATGTAAATTCCAGCATCCACTTTTGATCGCATATAGCCCATTGCAAGTAAAGATTGATGAAGGGCTTTATTCCATGCCAACGCAGCTTGCTTCAAGCCATAAAGAGCTCTAAGCAACCAATAAACCTTGTGTTCTTGACCCGAAACTTTGAAACCTTCTGGTTGCTCCATATAAATTTCTTCATCAAGACTGCCATATAAAAAGGCAGTTTTAACATCCAGGGCTTCAGTATCCCAATTTCTTTGGGCAGCGAAAGCAAGTAGAATTCGAACTGTTTTGAATCAAGCCACTGGAGAGAAGGTATCTTCAAAGTCAGTACCAAATTCTTGTGTAAAGCCTTTAGCCACAAGACGAGCTTTATAACAACCATCACTTTTTATTGTGAAAACCCATCGACACTTTACAGGTTTCCGATTCTTGGGAGGATCCACCAAGGTCCATACTTGTCTTTCTTCAATAGACTTTAATTCATCTTTCATAGCGTTGAACCATTTCTTTTGTAAATCGGGAGACAACCTGAGCACATCTTTATAGTGTTCCGGTGATTCTTTGATCTGGGCAGCCAATGCAAACTCGAAAGGATGCATTTCCAACTGTTGATCTGGCATGCCTTTTGGAGAATTAGGAGTATCCGGAAGAGGAGTAAGTGGAGATCCAGGAGATGTGGGAGTAGTTCCTTGTGGATGTTCTGTCCACTGACGAGGAACTTCAGGAGGAATCATTGCAGGAGGTAACCTCGGAGAAGGAGGTCTACGTTCCTCTGCATATCTCCGAATATCTTCTCTGGAATTGCAAGCATGTTGCTCAGCATTATGAATCCACTGTTGTGCTTGATCCCGATTTCTTTGAATGTCTCGTTCAATTTCTACAGGAGACCTATCTCCATAGATATTTTCTGGATCAGAAACTGGAATAAATCGACATTTTGGATGAGGTTCTCTGTCATCAGCAGGTTGAGCTCTGCAAACATTGTGCGAGTCTCCCTGAACAAATTCAGGTTG